GTTTAGACGTGAAGAACTATAAGATTATGGTTTTAATGTCTGCATGGGGCAAGGACAACGTAACGCAGGATTGGGATCTGTCAGTCGGAGTGAGAGTTATATGCTTATCAACCATCTTGTCAGGACATAGTGAAAAGAGGTCACCAATTAATGCAAAATATGATTCTAATCGAAAAAAATGAAAGTGCTAAAAAAAACTACGTTAATAAGTAGTTCATGAACCACCAAGGAACTGAACCAAACCAAACCAAACCAACCCGAAGCAATCCACGTCTGCTCAATCCACTATAGATGTTCACCAATAAATTTTATTATTACAAGAGGTACATACATAAGGCTAACAGTCGTTACTACCACAACACCTTTCTAACATCTACTCAGGGCTGCACATGCATGACGTGACTATCTTCAGGGGACACTTCTGCTGACCCAGGTACAAACGGTATAGCTCGGATGAAATCCCTCATAAAATAAGTGTAATAAACTTATTATAAGTACTGCAATATATAGAAGTTTGTTCCTCTCAATTTAACATGTATAAATCCGTAAGTTCCATTATGAACGGCCTTCCTTTTATAGCAACATTCTCTTCCCACCATGATCCACGTTAATAGCTCAAAAGAATCACAGCCACTTATAATTTTGAACTTCCCTTGTGATTAGCTCCAAGCAAATAACTCTTCTGCTGACTTCCACTTCACAAATAACCTTTTAGTTTGAGCCATTCAAAATAAATATGATATGATAGGAAATGGTCCAAGAGCTTAGCCTAACTTAATTAGTTCTAATTAAAATAAAATACAATAAATTAACCAACATAAGTACTTTTAATGTGTACTAACTTTGTACACTTACAATATTCATATAGATAGATTATTATTGGGGTATAGATAGATTATTATTGGAGTATATTATACATGTATTCTGCACTTGAGTTAAGCGTTTCATATGTCCTTTCTCAACTGATAAATTCACTAATGCAAATTAAGGTGATAACTTAAATTTGTTAACAATACAATCATTCTTTCCAAAAGGTTAAACCCCAACCCGACAAAGCATCTGGAAGGATGTAAATCATGATAACTTAACTGAACATGAACCACAGAGGCTAGACATTTATTTACTGCACACAAGAAGCTATTTACTGCACACAAGAAGCCCACCTCACTGCCGCTGGTGAGACTCGATCACTGGTCATTCTTTCCAAATTTCACCTCTATGACTAATTGAGCTGCTCATGTGGGCTACAATCATCCAATCAAAATTGTATAGTAGGAGGAAAGGTTAAGTCACATTCCGAGATTTAGGGTCTATTTAAAAATATGAAAAATATTTTTTTTTTTAAATAATTTTTAGAAAATGACTCTTTTTCTTTTTCTTTTTTTTTTTTAAAAAAAATTAAGTGTTTGGCTGAAAATTAATTTTATTTATTTATTTATTTTTTTGCTGAAAGTTAAAAATTACATTTTTTGTTTGATTCATTTTCAACATACTATTTGTTAATAATAATAATAATAATAATAATAATAATAATAATAATAATAATAATAATAATAATAATAATAATTGTTTGTTGTACAATTGAGCAATCTGTGTTTTCCCGATTATTATTAACTGCATTTTTCCCATCATCGTCATCGTCATCGTCATCGTCATCATCATCATCATCATCATCATCATCATATATCTTTGTTGTAGAAATATACAAATGTTATATGGAGGGTTGTAATCAATGAGGTTTTGCATATTTTATATGGTAATCAAACTATGTACTAAAATAATTAAAATAGTTATAATTTGTTTAGTAATAAGTTTTTATTAACTTTTGTTACTTTTTGTACAATTAGTATTAGCGTATTGATTTTTTTTTATTTAAAAACTGAATCTGTAAAATAAAATCAGAAAATTGGAGAGAGAAATTAGAGAAATGGATATTGGAAATTTTAGAAAAAAAAAAAAAAAAAAAAAAAGATGAAGGAAACCAACTTTTACTTTTCTTGCCTTAATACACAATCATATTTCTTATTTGGTTTATTTACCTACACTTTTCTCTATCTCTATACAGCTATACTGTTTTAAAATATTAAATTTAGTCTTTATATTATAACATTAATAAATTTACTTCATCAATGGGTTCATCACCCACAGGTGCTATATGGATAAGCACTTGGGAAGAAAATTAATGCTTGTAAACTGTTGAACGTATAAATGATATGATAATAATTTATAACTTTTTCTTTTTGAAAACAATAATTTATAAATTAAAGCAACATATCTTCAATTATTGAATGATGCAATGATTGCAGTACTCTTCATTTTTTGAAAATTCTTTTTTGGGTATTTTCCCCTTATCTCGTTTGCTTTTTCTTCAAACTTCTCCCTGCGTATAGTATTGGTTATCTTTCCGCTGGCAAATTATTCCGTACAATGTGGATTCGGATCCAAAATATATAATTTACATATTTAATGTTTATAATTTTGTAAAAGATAAATATTATTTAGTATGTAAATTGTAATTATTCAATCTGAAAATTGTGTATTTTAGATCAGTGTCCACCTTGCATGTTGGATCTTGGTCTATGGTATAACAACTCGATCTTTTCTGTTATATTTCATGTATGTGTTTTAAGTTATTTATAATTTGATTTTAGTAATTTTTAATTAGGTATTAATATAAAATATAAATTTAAAAATATTATTAAACATACAAGATAAATTTTAAAATAATTGGAAATTAATAAAATTTATTTTGACAAATAAATAATAAATGTGACAATATAAAATGAAATGGAGAGAATTAAAGTTTAGTTTGAATGAACCTATTGGCCTTGAACAAAGCTGTTTATAGGGGTGGTTCCGATTTGGAGCATTATTGCGTGAATCGTGTACACACAACTATGTAGACTACGGTCCAAATGATACAAAGTACATTGTTCTAACACATAAAGTATATTATTCTAACTCATAAAATTTATTATCTTACCCAGAAACTCCATAAAATATATTATTTTACCAAAAGTTCATTATTCCTCACTTTTTCTCTAGTGGGGTGTCCTACCCGCGATTTATTTCATAATAAAGACTTTCATTGAAAAAAAAAAAAAAGATAAGTATCAAATAAGTCATTGAATAATTTTAGAAAGTGTAATTAAGTCATCAAAATAAAAAAAAAATTAATTAGATATTTGAGCTTTAAAAAATACAATTAGTATAATTTGACATGTTATTATAGGTAAATTTTAGGTTAAAGATGATTGTAATTCCATATCATTATATATTACTAACTTGGATGTCTAATAATAACAACAATAACAATAATAATAACAACAATAACAACAACAACAACAACAACAACAATAATAATAATAATAATAATAATAATAATAATAATAATTATTATTATTATTATTATTATTATTATTGTTATTATTATTATTAAAATATATTTTATTATTATAAAAATTAAAGCATTTTGAGTGGCTTGATGCTTGTATTGTTATCCCATAAAGTATGGATTTGAAATCTCCTGATAAAATGGACTCCCTAAAGTTAAGATTTTTTTTAATAAAATGGGCCCTAAGGTCCCATAACTCCATAAGAATTCAAATTAAAGTTAACTTATTATGCATGGAAGGGACAATTTACAGGAATAGGACGATATATTCTGCCTAACTTTTTTTTTTTTTTTTTTAATTTTAAGAAAACTGAATTATTCATTAAAATAAATATTCAATACAATTAGGAATAAAAGATAACCAAACAAGAGAACCAGATTGAGAATAATCCGCTCTAACAAGAGCAAATATTCAATACAATACAATACAGTATTTGCTTTTGAAAAGTGAAATCGCGAAGTAGTAGAACCCTAATCCTAATTGTGCGAAGCCAAAGAAGAACCCTAATCCTAATTGCGAAGCCAAAAAAGGCTCTAACAAGAGTATGAGCTAACTGAATTATTCTCCCTAGCTTTAATATAATACAAACAAACAAGACTATTAGTCTATTAAACTATGGATTATTAGATATTGTGCTTACTTTCAAAAAAAAAAAAAAGATATTGTGCTTATATAGCTATAGGATAGGATATATTGCAGGATTACATTATTAGTTAGACACATAATAAGGCTGCGCATGGTTCACATTTAATGTTTCAAATCTTTTTCTAAAAAAATAAATAAATACATATAATTTTGATTTTTTTTACCATACAATAATTTGTTTAGTGTATTTAGTCTGTTGTTATTTTTTTTTCTTTTAATTATCTTATCACCTAATTTTTTTACGATAAATTTTATCTAAAACTTTAATTGGCATCAATATACATACAATTTCACTTTGATTTATGACAAAGTCTGCAATGATTTTCTAGAAATGGATTATGGGTGAAGCTCTCTTGTGACAGCAAATGACCATAAGAAGGTAAACAGGTCTATATTGTTCAAAATTGATCTACTCAATTAAAAAGTCTAATAAACAACATCATAGGTAATCGAACTTAAACCTTATAGTTACTAAGTCAATAATTTTACTCACTTAGCTGAGAATCTGAGATTATTCCTTAATATGCAATAACACAACAATAATAACCATCTAAAATCCATGGAAATATGTTCTTCATTAGCAAAAGTGATGGAACTCCACTCCTCAACTATCAATTTCTTTTTTGGCTCTTTCCACCTCATCTCATTTTTTTTTCAACTAGCAATTTTCAGCAAGTTGAATTCTAGCTAGTCATCATTGACAGGCTATACATGTATATGGTCAGGAAAATACTACATGTACTCACATTCTCTACTCCCAACTCTTACTCCATCTCACACTTAAAATATTGATATAAACATTTTTATAGGGGTCCACATGAATAAAATGACTTATTAGAGCTCGTCACACCAGGAAGTAAATTTGAGAGAGTATGATTTAGGAGTACATGTAGTAGAACTCATATGACTTGCCAGTCTCTCTCTATATATATATATATATACTCATCAGTTTCTGATCTATATTTCCCAATACAATCTAAGCTTACAATTGAGTTTGGGAAGAAGTGAATCTGCAGCTATCAATGGCTTCTCAAGGCAAGAATGGTATGATACGACTATTCTCTTAAGTAGCTTGATTACTGTATATACTTATGAATCTGCAGATTGCAAAAGTATTTATATATGTTCCCACCGCATGCAGATGATCATCATGACCTTGAATCAGGTGAATATAAAGCGGTTGAAGAAGGAAAATATTTGAGATTGTACAGAGCTATAGTGGAAGGAAATTGGAAGGAATCTCAAGAATTATTGTTCAGCAACCAACATGATAATAATAATAATAATAATAATAATAATAATAATAATAATAATAATATTGTTGATCCTCTCAACAACAACTTAGACACTGCTTTGCATGTTGCTGCTAAAGGGGACGGCCGCCATGCTTCCTCCTTTTCCTTGGTAGTAGAAAAGCTTGTAGCAGAGTTGCCAGATGAAGCTCTTCTTCTCAGAAACCGCAAGGGCTTAGCCCCACTTCACCTTGCTGCCCGTTATGGAAACATTGGGGTGGCTGAAGTTCTTATTCGGAGGAATTCCAGTCTCCTCTATAACACCTCCGAAAAGGGTCTTCTCCCCCTTCATTACGCAGCTCAAAACACTCTCGAGAGCGAGGATGTGTATCGCTATTTCTTGGATGTCACTAAGGATGATGAAGATGGGCAAGCTAATCCATATGAAGGCCCAAGTGGTGCCACTATTCTTGTTAACTTAATCAAGTCTAAATTCTATGGTATGTACGAACTATCTATACGTGCAGTGTTAATTTTTATGATATATGGATAGATATCAATGCATTTCATATTTCAATTCCTAATTAAGATACAACTCAAGTGAGGGATAGATTCACTAATGCCAAATAAAAGTTAGATAACTTTGATTTGTTACTGATGGATATATTGGAGAGGGATCCCGAACAAACCAACCCCGTGGAGCGGAAAAGGAAGGATTTGGGTGGATCCGGGGTCCCAGAGAGGAGCCTCCAAGACCCGTGTTGACCCAGGCCGCTTACGCCGAGTCCAACCTGGGCCTCGGCATAGCGCTCGGCCTAGGCCTCGGCTTGGACCTCAGCCCGGGCTTCGACCGTGGGTGTGAAGTGGGGTCGGTCGCGGTTAAGTAATTGCAACTATCTCCTACTTTTTAAGAGGACGGTTAGGGGACTCCTAAGTATAAATATCCATCATCTTTATTGTCCAATCACATACTCAGTATTAACCATATATCTTACAACATTCCTTAATACAAGATTTGTCTCTGTGGCACATTTTCGTTGTCTTTTCATACCATTATTTGTTTACATGTCGTATTCTTTGATTATCGGGCTTGATAATCCGGGCCATCTGAGATAATTAAATCCATCATTGGTGCTCGATATACAAGTTCGAGCGTGCTACCTACTAGCTTTGGCAAGATCGAGATCCAACTTTTGAAATTCGCATGACTCACGCAACACCCATGTGTCCCCGGATGGAAACGACTTCAATGGGATTGCAAGTCGAAAAAACCCTCTCCGTGAGGTCGGCAGGGGACCTACATGATCAACTCAACAACAACCGCCATGGCGGGTCAACTCCCATAACCCCCCCCCCCGCCCCCCCCCCCCCCCGAACCAAGGCCTTTCAAAAGGAGGTAGTCGCGATCCAACAAACTGCTACCTTATTGACCCGCCTCGTGGAGGAGCTCCAATGAGGGATCTGACCCCACCCCCCGGGTAGGCCCTGAGATCTCTCAAGGGGCACCGACCTTCACCCCGCCTCGCAAGTGGGCATAGTGGGCCGAACACCCTACTTCCTCGAGGCCTAGAAGCTCAAGTCGGGGGGAGATCAACTCACCCTGACCAACGGATAGGCAAGGAGGAGGTAATGTTAGTCAAGACATGCAGGAGTATCAAGGAGCCGACTAACTTGAGCCAAGTCCGCCTTGGGGCGGTTAGGCGCTTGTGTGTCGACTCGAGATCGACTAAAGCCGGGGCTGACCGCGAACGACCCCTTGGTGGAGGAGTCATTTTCACGAATGTTGTCGAGTCGCGGGCTTCGAACCCCGCCTTGATGAGAGCAAGCATCCCGCGTGGAACGGTTAGGAGATCGAAACCAGAGATTGAGCTTCGAGCTCTCACCATGACGAGAAGAACACGACTATGACTCCACATATTCAATCACAAGGGCGAAGGCCTGAAACAATTTGAAATTAGAGATAAGTATTAATTATTGTTACTAGTATAAATTTTCTTTTATGTTATTTTTATCTACTATTTAATGTGTCCAACTACCAACTTATTCAAATAAAAAACATTAATGTGGAAAGTCCTTCACTCCACATAACATGGTAAGCTCTTTGCTACCCGCATGGGCAGCTCAATTGGTCATAGAGGTGAAAAGTTGAAAGAATGACCAGGGATCGAGTCTCACCAGCGACAGTGTTGGAGCTACCTCTCAAAGGGGCCTCCTTGTGCGCAGTAAGCAAATGTCTAGCCTTTGTGGTTCAGCTGTCGGGACCTACATGGTACAATAAGGGTCACAAGGAAGGGATTTTTTTAATCGAAACTAAGGGCATGTCGCTCTAATCATACGTTATATATTCATCTATCCTACATGAAATTCACGAGTTCTATACGCACCTAATTGTGACTCTCTATATGATATTCGATGTGAAGAGTTTTTTTTGCCCAAGTTAAACCCTTGACCAAAAGGCTAGCCTACCAAAAAAATCCGAGCCCATGGCAGGGGGTCTGACCCCTAAACAGAGCCTAAGCCCTGAGTTTGGGCTGAGAAGCAAAATATATACTCATAAGGTGAACTGAGCAGGGGCTAAGCAACGTCTCCCCCCTTCCCTTGGCCCGAGCAGGGGCTTGGCCAAAAAATGTGGAGGGCGCATCAAGAAGGTGAATTGAAAAGCTAAGTGAAGGCACAAGTTCAAGCAATTGCACGAAAGCTAAACACTTCGGTCCATATCAAAATAGTTCGAACTACCTGGCCGGCAAGATGAATGAAGATGAGCAAGCTACAATCAAGCCTAAACCTTGGAGTTGGGGTCGGCTACGTCGGGGTCGGTCGTGTTGGAACAACCATTACAGAGGCAACAACATCCTCCTCGGCCTCCAAGTGGACTCATCCATGTTCTCAAGAAAGTGAAGGTGCTCCAACAAGACTCGAGAGGAAGGGAAAACTAAGAAATGCCAAGACCAAGCTCGGCCACATAGGGTGTGGGAGACTTGAACTTAGCCCCAACGGGGTTGAGCCATGGTTGGGCCTCGGCCGCAAAGAACCCAAGCCAAAGCAAGGTCCCAAGTCGAAGAGGCAGTACCTTGAAAGCAAAACAAGGAAGCTAACTGGAATAGAATTATTTGAGAAACCAGGTCGGAATACAGCTTGGATCTACTCTCTCTCACTGACGACTTCTCGCAGCTCGAAGAGTGCGAGACTGGTGATGGATATAATGGAGATGGATCTAGAACAAATCGACCCAGTGGACCGGAGCAAGACGGGTCCTGTTGGACTGGGGTCCCGGGGTCGAGTCTTGTGCTCGTCCTCAACCACAGCCCTTGGGGTCAAGCAAAGCCTAGCCTCGAGGCCGGGCATGGTCAAAGTGGTTACAACCACTTTCCCTATTTTTGGGGCGGTTAAAGGGACAACCTAGTATAAATTCACCAACTATTGTCTTGGTTGCGAGATCCTCACTTGATCACACATTCTCTTTTAATGGCATTTCAGAAACATTATATTAATACAAACTTTGTCTATATGGCACACATTTCTTGTCTTTTCATATTATTATTTCTTTATTTGTTATTTTCTCTATTATTGAGTTAAGTAATTGGGGCCATCAAGATTAATTTAATCCATCAGTTAGCAATCACGATTGTAGGCAATCATTATACCAAAGATCATGCACGGGTGACGGGACAAGATGGATGTTTATTTTTATTACAGTGTTTTTTTTTTTTTTTTTTTTTTTTTACATCGTTGAAGGTTACTTTTTGAAATTAAAGTTCATTTTCTTTTTTTAATGTATTCAACTTTCAGTATATTAAAATATATTGTAGGAGGGCAGATTAAGGCACATTCTGGATTAAGTTCTTTTATGAAACTGGAGTGCAATCTTTTTTAAAATAATTTAATCTATATCTTGTCTCAATGTAGGTTACAATTTAATTATTTATTAATTTTCAGTGGAGGCAACGAAGTTGGCTGATAAATATCGTGAGTTGAGTCTTCATCTGGCACTACACGAGGAAATATCTCCTTTGAAGGCCATAGTCAAATTCGATTATCCTATCTTTCACAAAATTAATCTACATTTTTGGCAAACTGCAATACGACATGGTGAGTAGTATAGTTATTTTTGGGTTATATATTTCATTCATTTAATTTAATTTAACTTAGCAATAAGGGTCAAATTGGCCATATAATTGCACACGATAATACAATTATATCACTTAATAACCTTAAAAACTACAATTGTGTCTTTAAACTAACCAATTTTATGCAATTAGTCTAATTTACAGGTTTTTCAGGTTACTAACAGGCCACTTAAATTTAAAATATTTTTTAAAAATAATTATTAAATTTTTTTTTATAAAACTCTTCGCCCGAGACAAAGAATCATGATATTGAGATTCAAACCCATGACCTTTGGTCTAGCTCTGATACCAAATTGAAGCATGTGCTCCATCTCAACTAAAAGCCTAAGCTGATAATTGAATTGTACATTAGTGGCTATATGCTCACAATAATAAATTTTAAAAAATATTTTTAATTTGGGGCAACCTTTTAAGTAACCTAACCTGTAATTCTGTAAAGGGGATTAATTGTACGAAATTAGTTAGTTTTGGGACTCAATTGTAGTTTTATAAGTTGAGTAATCTAATTGCAATCATATGCAGTTCAATGACTTATTTAACCCTTATTCCTTTAATTACACTTAGTTGCAAGGAGTTTAATTTGTATATATATATATATATATATATATATATATATATATATATATATATATATATGTTGCCATGTTTATGTTGTTTTTATCAGCGTTGTTGGGGAAGAAAAGTGTAGAGAAACAAATTTTGAAGCACAAAGAAGCAGTGAAGCTTGTGGAATGCTTGTGCGATAAACTAAAAAACTTAAATGGCACACAAGTTGAGTTACTTGCAAAAGAAGCAATAATTGAAGCAGCGTACTTGGACATTGAAGAGGTGGTCGAAAAAATTGTGGAAGCATATCCTACGACGGCTTATTACAAAGACGACAAAAGTCAGCAGAATATACTTCACATTGCAGTAGAGAACCGCAGCACAAATGTTTTTAGTTACCTTGTTCGTGGAAATAGTGTGCTTAAGCATGATTTAGTAGAGGAAAGAGACAAGAATGGAAACAACATAGTACATTTGGCTGGGAAATTGGCACCTTCAAATAAACTCAATTCCAACCTCAGCAGCATAGATGTTTTTAACCTTGTTTCTGGTTCAGCTCTTCATATGCAGTGGGAGCTGCAATGGTTTAAGGTACTTACTTTAAATTTTTTATCATACCCTTCCATGCATATATTGACACTATTTGGTAAAATAGTTAGCTATTAGTCAATTTTAGTTTATTTGATCACTATTATTGGTTAATTAGCTTTTGTAATTCCAAATTGTTAAAATTCAAAAAGTTGTTCAACTTTGCAATTAGCTTTTTGAGAAAAATATTATAGCAAACAGCTGTCCGCTAACAGTTAATTTACCAAACACTTTTCTGCAATTAGCTAATATATCAACTAGTTATATGTATCCACTAATTAACTCAATTAGTTAATACCTAATAGCTATCAGCTATCAGCTAACAGCTAATTTATCAAACATTTTTCTACAATCAGCTAATGTATCAACTAGTTATATGTATCCTCTAATTAACTCAATTAGTTAATACCTAATAGCTATCAGCTATCAGCTAACAGTTAATTTATCAAACATTTTTCTACAATCAACTAATGTATCAACTAGTTGTACCCTCTAATTAACTCAATTAATTAATACCTAACAGCTATCAGCTAACAGTTAATTTACCAAACATTTTTCTACAATCAGCTAATGTATCAACTAGTTATACCTTCTAAAGCTAACAACCATTTACCAAACAGGGATTCTCAAACCAAACAATTAACTTCAATTCATTGATTGATTGATTGTGCAGGAAGTGCAAAAGATTGCACCGCCATATTTCTCATCACTGAGAAATAATGATGAGAAAACACCAAAGATGGTGTTCACGGATGAGCATAGAGACTTGAAAAAGGAAGGGGAGAGATGGATGAAGGAAACAGCAAGTGCATGCTCCATTGTAGCCGCGCTCATTGTTACTGTGGTGTTCGCCGCCGCTATTACAGTCCCCGGCGGCAACAGTGACGGTGTACTCACCCAGGGCTTTAACGCCACAATATTCCCACCGGCGGCTAATAATGTTTCAATCAATGGTACAATTAAAGGTCCCATTGATGAAACCCCACCTGAGGGCCTCCCCATCTTCTCCAGAAAGGATGCTTTCAGAACCTTTTATATCTTCAATAGTGTCTCCCTCTTTACGTCCGTTCCTTCCCTGCTAGTCTTCTTGTCCATCCTAACTTCGCGCTATGCAGAAGAAGATTTCCTACGCTCTCTCCCCATCAAATTAATCATCGGCCTCGTCACCTTGCAAAGTTCTGTTTTCTTTATGATGGCCTCCTTTTCTACCACAGTTTATCTGGTGTTTTGTAAGACTGCTATGTCGATTCGTATTGTTTTGATGGCAATTACAGGTGTGACGGTTGGTTCAGTTGTGCTTCTTCAATTCCGACTCCTCCTAGCTTTCCTATGGTCCACCTACCGACGGGCCATTTTAAAGAAACTAAGAGCATCTACCTAGCTTTTTGCTGTATTATATATATATTGTTGTTTGTATTGGTTTTTGTCTTTTTTTTTTCTCAGTTGAAACATAGTTTGCTTGTAATAATAAATAAGTTTGATTTACGTACGGAAAAATTATGGTGGTCTTTGGTTGTTTGTTTGTCTGTTTTATATTGTTACTTTGTTATTGGAATCAAATATTTAAGTAATTACAACGTGGAAGTGTATCTCTATTTCTTGGGTGTCACTAAGAATAATGAAGATGGGAAAGCTAATCCATATGCAGGCCAAAGTGGTGCCACAAATCTAAATTATATGGTATGTACTATCTATACAGAGTTAATGCCATATGGGATCCTCCAAGTATAGTCATAAATGTTAAAATTGACTGGTCCTTCGACTTTCAAATTGTTATCTTCCCTAGTCCAAGTTAACCACGTACATCTGATTCTTCAACTTTCAAAATTTAACTAAGTGTGGTCCTCCTAAAAGGACCATGGATAGTTAAAGTTTGATAGTTGAAGGACTATGAGTGATTAATTTGGACCACAGATGAAAACAATTTGAAAATTTAAAATTAAAAGTGGCGAAACCGAGGATTCCAGATGGTATTAAGTCTATCTATTAGTAGAGTTAATTTTAAGATCAGATACCAATGCATTTATTGAGGTATTACAATTCATTGATTAATTTTCAGTGGTGGCAATGGAGTTGGCTGATAAATACCCTGATTTGACTCTTCATGATACACTAGACAATGATACATCACCTTTGGAGGTCATAGTCAAATACGATTATCCTATCTTCAACAAAGCTAATCCATGGCTTTGGCAAACTTCACTACAGTACAGTATGGTGTGTAGTATAGTTATTTTTTGGTTATATATTTGGAAAAATTGCGTCTTTGGTGTCTTAGTTATACCCAAGTTTCGACTAGCTAGGTCCTTCAGTTATGACTATATATATATATATATATATATATATATCTGTTTTTTACCCCTCAATTATGACTAATTATATCCGTTTTAATCCCTTAATTATGAATAAAGAGGTGACTCGTTTGGTCACTGACGTTAGATTTCCGTCTCAACCTAACTAAATATCCAAAAACTTTTTAAAATTGAAAAGTTGAAGTATGAAACACGAGTAATACAAGATTCAACTCATTATATGACTTTACACATATATACTAGGAAGTTTGTTTAATTGCCATGATTCCATATATATGTTTTTTAGCGTGGTTGTCGAAGATCATTGTACATGAAAAAATGTTGAAGCATGAACAAGTGGTGGGTGTCGAATCCAACAAATAATAAATTACTTACTCTTATTAATTGCAATAGTGATGAGTAAGGTCGTACCCACAGAGATTGGTTCGATTAAATTTTATACCAAAAGACTTAACAAAGAATGAGACGAGAATTGAAAATTAAATAGCGACAATAAAAATGCAAACAATATCAAATATCAAATATCAAATAATCAATAGCAACTAGTATCCAACTCAAGGAATAATATCAATTCAATTCTAACAAGACAGATCATTGATTTCCAAGAAATAATTACTTTACTCTTTACCAAATTGGTTATGTTTATTAACAAGCTCTAATAACCTATCTTTCCTTACTTTGTCGATAATCAAAACAAGCTCTTTGATTACTTCCCTAGTTAATAAACAATCCTAAATAGGCTCTTAGGATTTAATTTACTAACAGCATTAAAAGAATTAGAAAGATTACCAATTCTAGCCAACAAACTCAAAAGCATGATTCATTTAAGCTAGACTATATATCTTCATAACATAAGATTGAAAATCTAATTTATAGTCAACTATGTTATTTGCTACTAGCTTTAGAACACTTAAACAATTACGGATTCAAAGTTCTAAATAGCAATTTAATACCTTGACAATTGAACAAAGGGCCCTTTTGCAACAATTAATCAAGCAATAATTAAAACTCATATAATAGGAGATATATAAATAATAAAGTGCAGAGAATAAAATTAAGCTAAATAAATCTCACTGGTCTTGTAGAATCAAACTTCAATAATCCTTGAATTGGAAAATTAAAACTCAGCATTACATTGCAGGGAGTGTTTACATTAAAATAAAATTATTCTAAGAAAACTGATTTCCTTTACTGAAAAATCCATCCCTATTTATACTAGTTCAGGCTCCCTAATCAACTCAACATAACCCTAATTTCTCTAACATCCACAAACTAAATCAATTTCTTGAACCACATAAAACCTAAAATAAATAAATAAACTTTAATTTCCTAACCATAGAAAATTAGCAAAGTAGGCTCCAATTACTCTCTGCTTCACGCCTTCACCATTGTCTCGTCTAACTCGTAGCAATTCACGGAGCCCAACAGACGGAGTCTTCGATTCGTAGCAATTCGTGGACGCCATTCGAAGAAAGGTCTTCCTTTGGTGTCGATGATTCTGCCGTACGCACAAAGCTAATTAAAACAAAACCAAAATAAAAGCAAATAAAACAAAAGACACTTGGGCTAGCCGATAAAACAATTAAAACATTGGCTAACTAATTAAAATAATAAAAGCATTCAAAAAAAAAAAATTAAAATAATAAAAAGGAAAATAATTAACCCAAGTCATCAACTAAACCCAATTCTTACTAATTTGCTCATCAAGTCTAATTATTTATATAATTATTATATTAGTACTGTTAGGAACCTTGTATTAGGATTTTGATGATACCAATGTAATGTAATGTAGAAAGTAGACCCCTAACTCTTACGTTTTGTATTGTATCGCTACTTTCGTTCTAGACGAAAGTTGCCATAACTCATATGTAATTCGTGTTAAGCTAGAACAAACACACGAAAAGAGTTATGAATAGAAGATAGGCTGATCAAGGCGAAAGAAGACTCCACAGCAACGAAAGAAGGAGTTGTCATTAAAAAGACAGTTCTTTTCAAGACTATCTCAACAAGTATTCTTCTTCTCATCAACAAGAAGAATGCTCTACCTGTCTGATTTGACAACATCCTAGGACAATAAGGACCTCAACTCATGGGACACGCTATCCAAAGAGCATTTAATGAAGTTGTACTATCTCTGGAGCTAAAAGACAAAAGTCATCAGATCCTCCATACCTTCAACGGCTACATAGTACAAACCCATTAATGAAGCATTAAATGCATGAGGCTCCATGGTCCTTGTCCAACAGATAAAAGGTTTGAAAAATTCATCTCCCTCCAACGGATGAATTTTCATCACCTATATAAACCAACCTTCATCAACTAAGAAGGTGCTGGTTCATTTTATCACTCTACTCACTCTCTTGCAAAAAGCTCTTAAAAAGTGAACAAATCTCAAAGCTCTTTGCGAACCAGCTATTTAAGGTGTTAAGGCATTTGAAGTAGATCAATCATCACTGCCCTACATCTTGTAAGAAGTCTTGAACTCTTGAAGCAATCATCCACACCAACAAGACTTCACAGTTTGAGGAATCAAGAAATACTTTCTCACCAACCTCAACTTAGAAGAAGAAGTTGATAGAGGCGGAGTAAACTCTCGGAGTTGAAAAACCTTCAAAGGCTGTCCGGCTTAGTGATCAAGGAAGTCTTTGTGTAATTGTACTAAAGAGTGATAGTGCAATCCTTCCAGCAGTTGTGGAAGAAGAGTGGAAGTAGGCAAAGTTTGGCCGAACCACTATAAAATCTCGTCTCGCTCTTCTCTTTACTTACTGCTTTAGTTTACTGCTTGCATATCATCTCTTTCATCACTCATCCTATCTTTTTATCAAACTCGTGCAACCCTCTCTTAATAACCTTTCCGCTGTGCTTATCTTACTCAAAAGTGTTGTCAGGGTTTTTCTTTTAAAGAATCTAAAGAAAAACGAGAGTCTATTCACCCCCCCCCCCCCCCCTCTAGACTCACCTCTCAATCTATCGGGACCAACAAGTGGTATCAGAACCGAATACCTTGAACGGTGAAGGCTTTTTGCATTTTACTGCCTGGTAGATCCACCTTTGATCTTTTTTTTTGGATCTTCTTCGTTGCACGATTTTTTTTTAAATGGAAAAAGAACATGCACAAAATCGCTCTAGACAGCTTGCTTTTAGTCTTGCCAAGTTTGATGACTGGAAATTAAGAATGCAGGCTCTTCTGTGCTCTATTCATGATGAAATGTGGGACGTCATAACTACTGGACCTATCACAGTGATGATGGCAAATGCACAGGCTGCTGCTCAAGGACCAGATGCTCCACAAATAATACCTAAGCCGAAAGAACAGTATAACTCGGAAGAAAGAACAAGAGCAATCCTGGACAATGTGGCAAGGAACATTCTTTACAACTCTCTAGATGATTCACTCTTCCCCAGAGTCAGAAAATGTAAAAATGCTATGGAAGTATGGAAAGTTCTAATGGACCTGGGAGAAGGAGATGAACAAGAAAAGGACAACAAACTGACAATAGCCATGAAGAAGTTCGAAGACTTTAAGATGCAACCAAACGAGACGATCATGGAGATGGAGCTAAGATTCACAAGACTAATGGGAGACCTATCAGACCTTGGAAAAGAACTCACCGAAAAGGAGATGAATCTAAAAATTCTTCGTGGATTGCCGAAGTCATGGGAGATGAAGGTCATCGCGATGAGAGATAATCGTGACATGAAAACAACACCCACCGCCAAAATCTTCAGTGATCTCAAAGCATATGAATTTGAACACGAACCGAAAGATGCTGAGGAACCAGAAACGAGAAATATTGCCCTCGTAGCAAATCAGGCGGCGTCAACTCCTAACAGGTCGAAATCTAACTCTTGTGATTTTTTAACTGACGAACAATATGCCCTATTTGTCAGGAAGATGAAAAGATTCATGAGGAAGAACAACTTTCAAGATCCACAATGGTCAAGCCACCGAAAGAAGCATGAAAGCTTCCCTCAGGCTTCAAAGACCGAAGCCACTGATTCACAGCTGTTGTGCTACAACTGCCGAAAGCCAGGGCACTTCAAAGCGAACTGCCCTTATCCAATGGTTAGAAAATATCAAGATGGCAACGATATCACAAGCTCCTCAAGGGAATCTGGAGAAAAACACAAGAAAAGTGATAAACCAGAATCATCAAACTCTAGGAGTGAGGGAAGAAGAAAAGCAATGGTGGTTGCCGAAAACACTGAAAAAGCTATACCCGAAAGTAGTACCTCAAGCTCAAGCTCAGAAGACGAAAGCA